GATGACATCGAACGGCATACGTCAGCCTCCCTCACCCCTCTATTTTAGAGGGATACATTGGAGCAAAATCTCTTCTAAAATAGAGAAAATTATTGAGTTGGGCATTGGAGATGGTCTAATAACTTAATAATGTAAGGGCCACGTGATTAAACTTGCCCATCATTAGTGTATTTAAAGAAACTTTTGTTTCAATAACTTGCTTAAATTCATTTTATTTTAAATATTATAGAATTCAAAAAATTATTAGAAAGTCACTATAAAATTTTATGAAAAATAAATTTAGGATGCAACTGATTCGCAGCTCTGGTAAACGTTTTAAAAAGTTTCACACTTTTGTTTGTATGACATTTTCGGTCTTAGAAAAGAATCTCTATCTATGGCTTTTGTTGAGGGTTCTATTATAAAATAGAGGCGTGCTTATATCTTGGTTTAAACTTAAAAGCTAATCGCAACCTTAAATTTTAAATAGCTAACCGGTTCGGTTTGGTTCAGTAAGATGAACCGATTAGTTTAAAGAATTTTTAAGAAAATATAAAAACTTTTAGATTTTTGCAAAACTTTTCCAGTTTTTGGTCCAAACCAAACTACTGAACTGAATCAAGCATTCTACATGTCCCAAAAATTATAAACAAATGTACCAAAATTATTGAAACAGTTAGAGGATTTTTCAACAAAAAACAAATGGGACATATTGCTTCGGTTTCAATCTGGTACCAATAATTTCTTTTTTTTAACATCAAATCATAACTTTATTAATGTGAACCAAAGATTACATTGTTAAAACATAAGGGTATGAACACAATCAAATAGATTTGTAACGAAAAAGCAAAAAAGTTCAAGCGCCGCAATCCGAATGATATGCTTAGTTGCTTTCGTCGTATCCGTCAATCTTGTGTGACTCTCTAGCTTTGGAAACATCTTCTTTTTATCGATGCACCATCTTTTACGCTTTCGAAAGTCAAAGTCTGCGATCCATCCGTTACATCGCAAGACCCTAGATTTGGGAACTCTCCTGAAGAAAGAGATATGAAGTTTTGTGATTGTAGCGTAAACCCATACTTGTTGTTGATCTGATCTTCTGATTCGCATCATAATCGCATCTCCATCCTCCGTTGTGGGTTGATTCCATGGCGGTTTTCGTGGTGGTCGTTGTCTCATTAACAAATCCAAAGAGATTTGTATCAACCATCGAAAAGCCACGAAACAGTGGTCTTCGGAGACTACCATAAAACTAACAAAATATGTTAGTTTCGATAAAAACTCGGGTAATACATACCGGATATGCCTCGGCGACTTCGCCGGAAAAGACCTTCACCACGGAGGACCGGATGAGACATGGTATATAGACTTGAGACTCCCGCAAAACGGTTCCTTTTTCATCGACCAGAGGTATTACCGTCCCATGAGACGGGTTCGCTTCTGCCTTCGGATCTGATATCCACTTGACATGAAAGTGGTGAATGTTTGTTGCCGGTGTAAGCACGAACACGGATAAAGTCACCATCCGAAGGAAAACCATAGATCGGAAGAGATACCGGTGGAAGAAAGTGTCGCCCATCGAAAGAAACAGAGACAGAAAGTAGAACAAAACTAAATAAATAGAAAGGAACCCGACCGACGCCGAAAAGTCCAGCGCTGGCCGGAGAAAATGTCTAACGGCGGCGGTTACTTGTATAAAGTTGCGATTGTCTTTCTAATCGCCCTCTGCGAGATAGTTTATTTTGATTTGGTACCAATAATTTCATCCTCCAAAGTAAGCAACCAATCAAAAGATTAGTTTTAATTATTATTTGGTTGGAAAAACAAACGTGGTAGCAATACTTATGATATGAACCGAACCAAACTTAACAAAGTTCGAATCAAGTTAATTTGGCACATTTTTCATAACTGAAGACACTGAAATTTTGAGTCTAGCCGGACTAAAGTTTCCGATCTCACATCCACCCAAAAAATGAATTTTCATGGTAACATTCAAAAACCAACATAATTAAGTGACAAATACCACCATAACCATTACTCACTCCGTTTCGTTTTAGTTGTCGTTTAAGGTTTTCTCACACAAATTAAGGAAATCATTAAATTTTCTGTTTTACCATTTATTAATATATCTTATAAATTTTTTCATTGGCCAAAACATTAAAACAATAGGGATAATACTGGAATTTTTACCAAACATTTGCATTGAAAACCTAAAACGGCAACTATTACGAAACAAAATTTAAGTCCTAAAACGACAACTAAAACGAAACGGAGGGAGTATTTATTCTCTCTATGTTTGATCCGATATTTTTTTCTTTTCCACCATTGGTACCAAAATAGGTTTATAGACGAACCGACAAACAAAATGTAAAACTCAACCAATCTAATTGTTTGCCACATAAAGTTTTTGCCCCTAAAATAAACAGAACAAGAAAGAAGTTGTGATCTGGAAAATTCACACCCCTAACGAATGAGACAATGTCCACTTGTGACTGCATGAGAATGCGAGAGACCGGCCAATGAGATTAATTTGGGACTTACGTTTGGGGTGACTTACTGATGCGGACATCCAAATCAAATCAAATCAGGAGCATACCAAACCAACCGATACATGTATCAAAGCGGTAGATATATGAAACATTTTGGAGGATTCTTGCCCAAATAGAGTCCTAATCAAGTACAAGGCCTAAGATTAATTATTCACCTGCAAATTAATCCTAAGAAGACTAATAATGGTTCAAGAAGAATCAATGAAGAGTGAGCCGAATCACTATATTGTGGGAATTTGACTGTTGCATTCTTTTTCCCTTATCTAGGTTTTGTCCCAATGGGTTTACCTATAAAGGTTTTTAACGAGGCAACATCAAGTCATCAAGGAATCATATACCAAGCAATTGATTCGAAGATGTTACAAGTACATATAGTTGATGTACTTGCTGACGGACCGGCTGAACTACTCACTGAACTACTTGTTGAATTACCCTCTCAAGTACTGCTCCAAATGAAGCCAAACAAGGAAATCTTCCTTATTCTACACTTGGACGCACCTCAAAGCTACATATGGAAACCAGGATAATATCTAGGCCACACAAGACATGTACCACATGAACTTTGGTACACCTTACCACACAAGAACCCGCAGAGTTACTACTTGCCATATATGGAGCCGAAGAAGATCAACTTGCAATAACTCTTTTCTTCTTTGTTTATGCGCTTGTGTGAGAATCTTGAGACCCTCCAGAAGCTTCCAGGACGTCACAACTATCCTTCCCAAGTTGACAAGATACAAGGCACATCTTACTTGTCTTACTTGGACCGATTCTACACTTAATGGTCCAACGGCCATATTTCCATTAAATGGTGCGATTTGTTTATTTTTTTTAGAGAATTAGAATATTGTAGATGAGCCTATATAAACTCATTATTTCGTTCATTTTAAAACACCCTTGATCATTTTAAAGTAATAAAAACGTTTCTTCTTGTCAAAGTTTGAGTCTTTGTCATTTTGTTCTTCAGTTCTTTGTCAGTGAGTCACTTAGTACTTTAGAAATCTGCGGATTAAACTTGTTGAGTGATTCAACATCTTTCATTCGTTCATTGATCGCCTAAGTCGATTATCCCACTGATTGAGCAAGTCAATCACCACATCTATCCATCGTACCATCCCTGATTCACGAAAGAGTGCTTCAGAGCCAGCTCGTGAATTCCACCCTTCTGCGTGAAAAGCTTTGAATCTCTTGATCATTAAGTGATCTAAAAGTTGGAGTGATTCCAATCTTGTATCACTTACTTCTATAGGCAAGAGACCATCATCACAATATCATATAGTCGAGCTGACTTACTTTTGGTACACTGCACATTTTCCAATGGATGACATGTTGGTTGATGGCTAAGCCGGTGAGCAACTCAACCTTTAACATTTAATGTGATACATTTAATATTCAGTGGCTGCTAGACTTTATGATATGATAACTCTCTGGTTTCAACTTATGCCTGAAGGTGCTCTTCGCAGCTCTTTCATGTCACTGGGGTACCAATCTAGCCCTAGGCCATTTTTGATTGGATTGGCTTTGGTGATGGATAGCCTAAGTCAAAATTCACTCTAATAATATTTATAACAAATACTTTTTCGATTATTTCAACAAATCTATGATACAACAAATTGTGATCACCAGCATATTCAAAATACTTTTATTTTCATGGCATTAATCTTTTACAAATAGCATAACAAATTTGGAATCATGGAACGACCTCGACATTTTTTGTTGAGCTCAATGGCCAACGAACAATGAACTAATTATCAATCCCTATGTGATCAACTTTGTATAGGGATTTATGAAGCCTAGGAGTGATAAAGACTTCAAGAGAAGTGGCTTTGTGATTGACCAATCCATTGCTCTCTGTCATGTCCACATCTTGGCTCGATGGTTTTGCCAAGTCAAAGCTGTGCAAAAACCTAGCTAGGAGATAGTGCACCATCTTCATACCTAGAGGGATCGCGGGGCATGACCTTCGTCCCAAACCGAACGGAAAAAACTTGTAACTCTGCCCACCAACATCCACTTCTCTATTAGATGTCAAGAATCTCTCTGGCTCGAACTGTTCGGGGATGGACCAAACACTTGGATCCCTATGAATCTTCCATGCACTCACCATCAATTGTGTCCCTGAATAGTTAAATGAACTATTTATGTTAGAGATGATAACATTCATTATGATCATATTTGTTGAACTTTAATCTCAGATTAATTGGTAATGTACGTAGAAAAAGTAACATGAATTTTTTTAAGTACTAAGAAGTTTTGGGGCTATGCTCGTACATCCTTCAGGCCATGGACTAGAGCATTGAATATGGTTCTCTCCCAAATGCTACTCAAACCAGCGATTTGTAGGCTTTGCCTCAAATACTTTACCAATTGAGCTATTGGCACTTGGTAACTTATGAAATTTACTAGTTTTATGTGAGATTCAAAACAAAAAAAAAAAAATTAGGTTAATTAAGTCATTTAATCACTTTGATTACCTGCAGGCACATGACAGTTGCAACATGCAATGTCGAAATCTTCCATCACATCTCTGTAAGCAATGAGAGGGACTGGTGGATACAAGCGAAATGTCTCCTTGACAATGGCTTGGAGGTAAACCAAATCTTTGATATCTATCTCTTCCACAACTCTCTCCTTTCCGATTTTACTGTCAAGCTCCTCCTGAGCTTTCCTCAATACATGCGGATTGTTCAACAGCAAAGATACAGCCCAAACCAGAACCACAATGGCCGTCTCGCTCCCAGCCAATACCAAGTTCTTGCACCCAAAAAAGTTCACAATTAATATAAATTACATGATTATAAACATTTATGACTACTCCAACCCGGAATTTGAGGATATTATAGTTTATATAGGTCTTACGAGGCAGATGGCTTTGATTTTCGTGTGAGTATCGCTCAAACCCGGAATCTTGTCTTGTCCCAATGTCTCAATGAGTATATCCAAGTAGTCATTTACACTCCTACCGTGATCACTCCTCTTGTTCTTGTGTTCTTCAACCCAACGTTCAGTAATTTTATCCAACTCTTTAGCCGTTCTCTTCATTCCTCTCTTGATCTTCCACTCCAACAAACCTAGAGCCGGTGCCACATCAGACAACAAAAATAGTGAGAAGTAATCTAAAAACTCGCGAATCAGCTTCCCGCATCTCCTAGCTTCTTTCACTTCGCAGTTAGGGTATTCACCAAAGTATCTCTTCCCCGCGACCATCATCAATGAGATGTTCGCGGTTAGATCTATGAACTCTTGCTTCATGTCCACCAAGACTCCTTCTTTAGGCTTACCTCTTTGCTCCCACCTACCGTATAAATTTCCAAATGCCAAGTCAGCCTCACGGGCTCTACTAAACATGAGCATATCAATTCCCGAGGTCGAAAAAAGCTCGGATGCTGCGATCTTCCGCATCTCTCTCCAGTAAAGACCATAAGGACTAAAGGTCAAGAACGAGTCGTTGTAGCCAAGAATCTTAGACGCAGTAAGTTCTGGCCGTTCTAGTAGCTTGTCGTGGACCGTGTAGATCTCTTTGGCGACCTCTTTGCTGTTTATGACCATGACGTTGAGAGAGCCAAGCTTTGCCATGAACACCGGTCCATAGACGTCAGCCATTGCCCCAAACGTAACGTGAGTTGGGTTTACGGTGTCAAATAGATGTAAATGGCCGAGCAATGGCCACGCTCCGGGGATCATAGGTGCCGTATTCGTCCTGTTCTTGGGACGAAGCAGAGACTTTATTAAGCATGAAACAGAGAAAATAAAGAGAGCAGAGAGAAGAAAAAGCTGAGTTAGATCCATGTATGGCTGATTTGTTTTTTGTTTGAGGTACTTGTTGCAAGCCTTTATTATATATATATATAATAAGTTTTCACCAACTCCTACATTATTTTATAAATATTTTGTTTTTTGAATAATTTTGCGAAATGGATGTTTTTCTTAAACATAATTGTGATCCTGGACTCCTGGTACGGGTACATTCACTATAATTGTGAGAATACGCCTATTTTGCTATACACGTCTCAATGCATCTCTCTTATATCCCTACCCAAACATCTTATTAAGTAAAAATTGTCAATAAGAAAAAAAATTAGTTCCTCCTTTCCTTTTGTATGAAGATAAAAGTATACTCAAGGAAAAAAACTTTCTCTCTATCATTTTCTTAAACTTTTACTCCTTCTCTTTTTCCTCTAAATCTTTTTAATTGGACTTGTTACGACGACAACATATTTATTTTTAAAAATTTTAATCTGAATCTAAAAAGTTCAATTTTATGGATATGTAGCTCTTTATTTTACTTTATCTGAATACGATGGTGTACAAAATAATATACAAAGTCGGTGTACGATAATAATGTAAAAAATGGTTTACAAGATCCAAGATGGTGTGCAAACGACAGTTACAGTGGTATATCACTATATGATATGGTTGTGTACGACGATAATGTAAAAGGTGATATAAAGACGGTTGTGTATGATACATTGGTGTACATAAATGATGTAAGAAGTAGTATACGGGATATGACGGTATACAATATGGTGTAAAAAGTATTATTTTACAAATCTCAAAAATATTTACCAATATTGTAACCATTAACCTCAAAATATAATTGAAATCATAAAAGAAAAATTATTATTGAACAATATAAAATATTCCGTTTACATACAAATTATTGCAAAATGCTTAATTGAATACGCATTCCGTCAATCCAAACAAACAAATTAATCCTACTTAGTGTAACTTATTAACACTAGTCTGAATTCTAATTGGTTTAATAAAAAGACAAGAAATAACTAAATATAACAACTCAAAGATGACTTATTGATAAATTAAAAGCTTACTAAATTTCAAAATTCCCAAGAACCCCAAAATAAATAAAAACTCTTTTATACCGTATGCTGCGTGGAAATAATCATCCTCGAAACTAATTATGCCTATAAAATTTCTTCAAATCCTTAAAAATTTCCGACTAAACAAATTTGTTTTGACGTAAAAACAATAACATATGTAAACGCCGAGATAAGTATAATTGTTGTCTCGTGAGTGAAGAGAATCTAAGAAGGCAAATCTTGTAAAGTGTTGCTTACTTGTTTCCTGGTCTGTTCTTTATCCTTCTCTAATGATAAGTTCCAAACCTTGTAAATTAGGACGCCGAATGAAACTTTTCAGTTTTTAAGCTTAGAGTATTGTAAAGAAAAACTTTCAGTTTCTTCTTGCTCCGCATCTCTTTTTTTTTTTTTTGCTAAATATGTTAATATCATTATAATGAAAAATAGGCTTTACAAAAGAGTAGAACCTACGAAAGAGTAGCCGAGGCAAAAAGAATAAAAACAAGGCTACAATAGAATTAGGAAAGATTTGGGATGCTTATCGAATCCAAAGAATAAAAACAAGGCTACAATAAAAACAAGGCTATCCGCATCTCTCTGTTTCAAGTTTTTGTTCCGAGAATGTTTGTGAAAGTTCTTGAAAAACTAGTACATATTTTCCTTACACTTCCACACCATAATACATACAAACTTATATAGAGAGTAAGCTAACTACTCTCTAATTTTACTAACAACTACACAACCACTCCCACTAGTCTTAGTTTTTACTAGACTTGAACAACTCCAATAGCTTAAGCAGACTAATAAGTCTATCTTGTTTAGCTTCACTGATTTCCTTACTTGGTTTGAATACAAAATAAGCATTACTCAACATAGAGTCATCATAGACTTCTTATATGGGATGATTGGCGGTTGAGCAACTGAAAGCGTTGAGAATATATGAGCGCTTCATTGAATCAATTTGCATGGTTTATGAATTATGACAATACATGTTTCCAACGCTCAACGCATCACATGGTTCAACTGTTTAGTATATAGACAAAAAATCTCTCTTTAGAATCACAACCCGTATCAACAGTGTTTTTAGGCCACGAACCGACGATCTTTACAGATATATTTGTATATATATTGCTATTATTAGTAGATAAAAATATGTTATGTTATTTTTATATTAAACTAGATTAGGACCCGTCCGATATACGAATTTAAATTTTTTAATTCAATTAAATTTAATAAAAAGATGAGTGTAGAGTCAAGATGGCTAACACTCTCGGGGGTAACAGTTTTGATGCGCAACAAGGACGTTGCGGTCTATTAGTGGGCTAAATTGTAACATCCCGATTTCAAGAAATATGGTGGTGCATGAAGAGATGTTTAAAATAATATATTTGGTCACCTATGTCACCAAAAAGCACTTATCTTTTCAGTCAAACATATGGAGAGAACTCTATAGATAAGCGTGTTTGAGGTGGAACAATTTCAGGATGGATGACCTTCCAGGCAGTGATTTTTGGAACTGTGTGAGTGAAGACAAAACACTGAAAAAGATCATGTGGTGATTTGTAGGGTCGGTAAACAAGTCTTTAAAGCCTCACGGATATAGCGTACTAACTGTCGGAAGATGGTTGGCGCACAGACCGAGAGTGTAACATCCCGAACCCAGAATGGGGGGGGGGGGTGGTGTCGATCGACACCAGATGGTGTCGCTCGACACCAATAATTTCTGGTTTGACCGGTTCGCTTTAAATCACTAGTTTAGTCAGGAACTGATTGGGAAAAACCCTAGGTCTCATTTTAAAAACGACACATCCTCCTCTCTCTCCATTCTTTGAGTGTTTGGTCGTTCCAGAGAAGAGAGAAAGAGAGAGTTGGCCTTGTGGTTGATCTAAAGAGGAAAGAGAATGGTTTGAGTGAGTTAAGGAGAGAAGAAAAGCTTGTTTTTGGTGTTAGCAAGAGGAGGAGGAGTAGATCAGCGGCTGTGGGTTGAGAGAAGGTTGTTGTGGTACTGGTTGGTGCTGTTCTTTGTCTCAAATCAGTCCTAAATCGAGGTGAGTGCGTGACCATGGCTTACCTAAGCAAGTTGGGGAAGTTTTGATGCTTTGTTTGAGTGTATAGGTTTATTGAGAATGATATGAGGTGTGATTGTTGGTTGATATGATCCGGTATGCTTGTACTCGTGCCTTGGATCGTGAGAGACTCGACATAGGCAGCAGAGAGCCGAGCTGGGAGAGGCGAAGTGCATTTTCCAGGTCTGCTGCGGCGTCGGTGTCGATCGACACCAAGGGTGTCGGTCGACACCACTCGGATATCTGGTGACGATCGACACTAGAAGGGTGTCGGTCGACACCAGGTCTGGCTGGTAGTTTTTCAGCTTCCTAAAATTGCCTGGTTTGATTTGTTGATTGGTTTTGTTTTGCTGTCTTGATTTTTCTATCTTGCTTATGTGTATAGCCGGTTGATGGGAGGATCACATCACTAAGTATTTGTGATAATACTTATGCATCTCTTTCTTTATGGTGCAGATAAAGAAAAAGTGTGACGTGGAATCATGACAAGGAAGAGCGGATGATCTAGGAACTCTTTTTGTTGCGTTTTATTATGTTATTGGAACCCGTTTTAGAGTTATGCTAGGATTGCTGGTTATTTCTAGATATATTGGTTGGATTGTTTATTTTTAAGAAATTGCAATTTGACTTGCTGGTTGCTGTTGTTCTATTGGTTGATTTAATTAAGTATTTATGAGGATATTTAATTATGTTTAAAAAAAAACCGGGTCGGGGCTTCACAATTGGTATCAGAGCCTTTACGCTCCTAGGACGGTTTAGAAAATTTAATTGGAACTGATTGAATTTTCGTGATGTGTGATGTTAAAACGGTGGTTGTTTGTGCTGGAAAAAATTGATTATGAGTAGTTGGTCAATTTGAATGAGCATGGAGTCTTAGAATCCTCCTCTTCGAGCCTTCAATGAGATTCCACGGTAAGTTGTTTTGTATTTTTGGTATGATGTCTTGGTGTATTTAGTTTATGCTTGTGAAAGTGCAATTTGATGTCGGAGCTAGAGGTTATGGATGGGGACGTGGTCGAACCCGCATGGATCTGGTAGCGGGTGAGGGTGTGGCACAGAGTGCTACAGTTGAGCAGGTCGTGGATTTGCATGTAGATCAGGAGGGGTCTGAGGGTTTGGCCAAAAAATGACAAAAGTCATGTAGCAAATATATAATGTTCAGTCTGATGTTATTTTTTAAATTTTTTTTTAGTCTTAAGTTATTTAGTGTATATTCTATAATTCCTTATAAGATTTTCTCTTTTTGTTGAGGATATTTCATATTAATAAGTAAAGTTACATGACATGGATATAGACGGTCTCATATTTTCTCTTCTTTTATTGTCACAATTTTATTATGACGTCAAACTTTTCTAAACAAAATCATATATTTACGTATCTCATACTATATGTTTACATATTATACATATATATCGCTCATATATTTACGTAACTATATAGTTTTATCTTTTTTTATTGTCATAGTTTTGTTTGCATCTTCCCCACATTGAATTTATAAGATGTAACACACTATTATGATGGATGTAAATAACTTATTAAAATTCAATAATACAACATATGAATATTTATGACTTCATAACTTATAATAAGCAAAAAATTATATAATTTTATAAATAGGCCAATATTTATATTAGATGATTTAATAATTAGTATAACATAACTACAATTAATGTTTTATATTGCGTATTATGCTAATAAATATATATTTAAAAATAATTATGCTGTATTTTTTAAAATATACTCCCTCCGTTTCGTTTTAGTTGTCGTTTAAGGTTTTCTCACACAAATTAAGAAAACCATTAAATTTTATGTTTTACCCTTTATTAAGATATTTTATAATTTTTTCATTGGTCAAAACATTAAAACAGTAGAGATACAACTGAAATTTTTACAAAACATTTGCATTGAAAACCTAAAACAACAACTATTATGAAACAAAATTTAAATCCTAAAACGACAACTAAACTAAAACGGAGGGAGTATATGTTAATAGAATTTTAGTTAACCTTACAAAAATAAAATAAAAATATTAAGAATGATAATCTCGACCGGCAATCCGTGCAACGCACGGGTTCATATCTAGTATAATATATACTAGAGCTAATGCATTTCAAAAATAATTCAAAAATATCTAAGTTAATCTGTTTATATAATGAAAAATTGACAATGATGGGTTAGTCAAATAGATTTTTTATTCGGTTTAATTCGGCAGAATTTTAGATAATTGAGTAAACCAAATACATCGAACCGATAAACCGGATGCATTACATCTTCAGAGAAGGTAATTTAACTAGAGCTAATATTTTACCATAAGAAGGAGACCAAGGCTAGTTTGCCACTGAACCGGAAATGAGAATCACGACTGCCACTTTAGAGTCTGAATGCCATCCATAGAGTGGATAATACACTTATACCCTTAATGATTTATCTGATTTAATTAAAAACAAAAACAAAATTGAAATCGAGTTGAGGGAGAGAAATCTCAAACTCGATCCAATCTCAACATTTTCCATCTCTGTCATCTCTCCCCTGACACGCTGAAGATTCCCCGGAGCTGCTGAGAGCTCGATTATTTGGCCGTCATCTGTTACTTGTTAGATTTGCTTCTCCTTGTTCACTTTCTTGATTTTGTATCTAAGAATTCGTCTCTCTGCCTCCTCCGATCTCTCTCCCTCTCGCCGTGGATTGAGATGGAGAGCTTACCAACGACGGTCTCTGCTAAATCAGACCGGCGAGGTAGGCCTTCTAAGTCTCAGAACACCTCCAAGCCCTCTCTTATCTTAGCCTTCTTCTCCTGTCTAGCTTGGCTCTGGCCGGTACGTCCCTTTTTTCTCCATTTCCGACTGATTTCAATTCCTGTGAGTATTCAAATCTCATTGATTCTAGATTTGTTCTTCTGTCGGAATTGAATTGTTTAGAGTTTTGAAGATCGTGATGGTGATGGAACATTGTTTTCATAGTTGTTGATAGATCTCGAAGATGCTAGATTCTTCCGTTTTTCTACATTTTTCCACAGATTTGTTGCCAGTCTAGATTTCTATAATTTCAGATATAATTGTATTGCAATGTGTATTTTGGGTTTGAGTTCCATTACAGTAATCTACCAATCCCAAGCTCAAATTCGATCACTGGATCGGTATCAATTGGTTCTGATCTCTAATATGGTGTTGTTCTTACCTTTAGGTTGTGGCAAGATGCACAGTACAGAGCAGCACTCAATACTGTGCTTAAGAAGAATTATGATCAGGTTGGTCTTTCTTGTGCCTCTCTTGAATAGAAGAAACCAGTATTCATTCAAACGGGTCATTTTCACTAATCAAATGTTTTGTCTTTTCATCATGTTCTTGTGGAGTATATAGAGGCCTAAGGTTCTTACGGTGGAGGACAAGCTGCTAGCCCTTGGATGCAAGTAAGTTGGATTCTTTTCTCATAACATGTTTTTCTGTTCTGCATGTACTAATACACAATGTAACTGTTTTATAGAGATCTTGAGAGGAGAATTGTTGAAACTGGAATGGAGTTGGCACATGCAAAGAGTCAAGTAACGTTGAATTGAATGTTTGTAAAGCCGGTGGATGGTTGGCGTCTCTTTGTGTAGCAGGGTTCATAGCTATTGCAGTGAGAAAAATGGTGAAAACCAAGTAACGTTGGTTAGATAGAGACTAGATTTGGTTATTATATTATTGCTAACGACGTTGTACTTTGGGTATTTTAATTTCAAAGTAAATATATGATATTGTGGAAGGTAAATTATTATTACAACTTGGTTCGACTAGGTACAACTAAGAACATATTTGTATACGTATGTGTACTATAAACAAATAATTTTAAATAATTAAAACTCGAATTTATCATTTTCCTAATCTATAATATTAGTTCACTAGTTAAATTACGTTCATTGTATTATAATTTTTATTAAATTATAAATTAAGATTTCCCTTATTTCCTTCGTACCACACAGAACGACTACTTCCAGATGAATGCAATCGCGGATTTTGTATCCTATTTCCGATGGAGAGAAGTTGTTGTGATCTTTGTGGATGATGAGTATGGTAGGAACGGGATATCTGTATTAGGCGATGTTTTAGCAAAGAAACGTGCCAAGATCTCATACAAGGCTGGGTACAACTAGATTGACCGACTAGTACAACTAAGACCATAAATATATTGGGTACAGCTAAAACTATAACTATAACCATATATGTATCAGTATATGTACTTGTCGTATTCATACAACTATGTTCAACTGGGTATAATTAGGTTTTGACAAGGTACAACTAAGACCATAAATGTATCCGTATGTGTATTCAACAAATAAGAAAAACGATAAATTAGAGTTAACAAGGATTCCAAAAACATGTTGAACTAAAAAAGAAACAATTTTAAATAAAGAAAACTTGAATTTATCATTTTCCTAGTGCATACTATTGTTTTCATATGAAACACTCCTTATAGTACAAGGAACACTTTGTAGGTGATCACTTCTTTTGATGCAAAATAGGTGAAAATTATGATTTCGTACAAATTGTATTATGAAAACTTCTTAGATGATAATTAATAGTGTAACAACATATGTCCAACTTAAAATTACTAATTTTTATTAAAGTCCAACTGAAAATACGCAAAAATCGCCAAAGTCCAACTATGAACATGTGAGTACAACTGGACAACTAATACAACTATGTTTAAAACAAAACAATTTTTTATTAATATCATGCTGTCTTTGGTCCACTTTATCACACGTGTGATGATTTAAAAATAATATCCCGCCGCCAAAAATGATGCTTACGTGGATCATATTTAATTTTTTTTTTTTTTTGCTTCTTTGAAATTTATTAAAAATTGTTTTTTAAAATGTTATTTTTAATTGTCTCAGTTGTACCAAAGTGATCTAGTTGTACTTTCTTATAAGTAATCCATACATATAGTTGTACCTAAATAGACTAGTTGTACCTACAAAACCAGTTGAACATAAATATAATCTAAATATTTTTTTGGTTTACAAAAATACGAAGTCATATGTTCTTAATCCACAACACAACAAAATACAAAAATGAAATACAAAAACATAAGTCATGTGCAATCTTAATCCACAAGTACGTGCAGACTTGACTTGTGCGCTTTCTTTCCAGTTCTTGATCTAAATATACCAGTTGTACCTAAATAAACGATTGCATACAATATGATACATATAAATGAAAAGCTTAATCGAAAACATAAGTCATGTGTTGCCATGGGCATTAGTCACTAACATAATCATATGATTTAATCTTTTTGCATCTACCCAAAATCAAGCAAAAAGTATTACACAAAATCAAGCAAAAGAGATGGCAACATATCAGTTTCCCATTCCACAACACAAACCTTGGCACAGTAGGATCTCTCAACACCAAAAGGAGCTATATAAGATTACAATGTTTTTTATTCCAGCCTCTTCAAATGTGACATTTAAAACTAACTACTCATGGATTTAAGCAGAATTTGGCATAAGTTGGTAAAACTCAAGACTGATGATACACTGACCTTAAGGCCACTTCGGCGAACACCGTATCTTACTTTCTTCTCGAAACATCTAGAATTCCTCTTCTTCCGAAACCTATCCAAGGATTGTGCCCGTTGCGGAAGGTTACAGCGGTTCTGGTATTCTACAACATGCTAAAAATAACAACAAAATGACAAAGGTGGAATCGAGATGATTCTGCTGAGCTAGTTCCATCACCTGCGGACCAGGAGCAAGCTCAGTAGAACCACTTAATGTTCTGTAACATCCCTACAGCTTATTCCACCACCCAAAATGCTATCAAGATCAGAGCAAGATGTAGTAATGCGCGGCAAAGACTCCTCCTCGTGAAGCATATCCCAAGCATTCTTTGCTCCTTTGTTTGTTAGAAAGTTCAAAAAGAGAATCCTTCAGTGAATCATTTAAGAAGAAAAGCCCAATGGAGCTCCAAGGAGTTACCATTTATGAGAGAACGGCTTCCATTGCAAGAACTGGATCCTGAGGATTGATTAGCCAGCCTCAAAATCTCAAATGCTTCCTCCTCTGTGATATTTACATCTGCTCACACACCAAGTATAACAAAGATGACACATATTTCCACAAAAAACACACACACAAATACCTTTGATCATCAGCTTGACGATCTACCTTTGATCTCTTCTTCTCTGCACACATGAAGCAGATACAATGTCGTGGGGTCACTATCATTCAATCCAAGTCTAACAAGGTTCAAGTAGCAATCACTACAATAAAACTTATACTCAAAGTCTAAAACAAGCCTGATTTGATCAAGTAAGCATCATAATCTGAAACATATCTAGTTGCCCAGTGAAATTAAGCTATCATGAGCAATCTGGTTTTACCTCCGGAAGCATATACTACTTCATATCCATCTCTCCTTGTTTTCTTTTCACTTCCCCTGATATCCTCCTCATCGTCGTCGACATCATCATCTTCAACATCGAACTCATACAACTCTCTACTCCGGACGGCCTTCTTACCCGACCCGGAACCTGGACCCGAATGATAGTTGTGGTACGGAACAACACTAGTCTGCCCTGAGACGTGGTGCCTGGGTCCCAATGGCCCGTCTAGGATACTCCGAACCGGAAGCAGGAAGTAAAACTCTTTGTCACCAATCTGCAAAAGGTCTTGTGAATCGAGCTTGACGTTAGGATTCCCAGGGAGATGGAGGACACCTTCAACGAAGCAGCCATTTTTGCCAAGGACCTCGAGAGAGAAGCGTCGTCTAGTGAAGTCATAGAAGATCCGAGCGTGGTTACGCGAAATGTTCATCCCGCCGCCGAGAGATGAGAGATCAACGTCGACGGTCGCTTTCTTAGAATTCCGGCCGAGTATAATGGAGTAAGACTGCATATAGTATTCGAAATCCTCACCTTGAAGCTTCGCAAATCCAACCTCCACATCGCTTCCGCCTCCAACAGCCGTAGCCATGACGTGAAATTCGCCGATCAAAAAGGATCAAGACCGTTAGATTCGAATCCTCTGTTCCAATAGCAAGGGAAAAAATGAGAAATTAGGAATTTGATTTTTGGGTTTTTGGTCTTTTCATAATTTTCTGATTTAAATTGCTTTATTTTTAATTCTCTCAGAAATAAAAATTAGATGAATGTCATTCCAGCATTTTTTTTTTCCAAAAGTGGCTTTCCAGCCATTGTTTCCATAAGAAGTGTATTAAAGTTAATAACCCTAACTTAAAATTCGTAAGCTAAATGTAAGAAAATCCTTCGTGTCTGATTTTCAGGTTTGGCTTTCTTCTCCTGCAAAACAGATCCCAACAATTCAAAGGTTCGTCTTCTCCTTCTCTTCCACACTCTCTATCTGCTTCACTTTTGCTCTTTCTTCGCCAAGTAATTTGCTTTCGACTTCTAAATTCTCTCAAGTTACTATTTTTCTCTTCTTTTCTCTCAAATTTCTTTCTACCAAAAACTGAAAATGTTTGGGTTTTTGCAAAGTTTTGATCTTTTCATGAAATTGCAATACTAGATTGTTAATCCGATTTCTGGGTACTCACATTTCGAAGTTCAATTGTTCATTTTTCCTCTTTTTTTTTTTTGGGGTAAATTTGGTTAGGGTTTGTTTGGTTTTTTTTCAATTTCTCTCTTGTTTCTCTTGCTCATGTGGTAAAGAGATTGATGAATCGAGTTGTTTAGTAGCTATTGTAGTAAATATCTCTTGATTGTTGGAGAATCGAAATTTTACTGTGATATTTGTTTAGGTAGCAGAGTTCAATGTTGTATCATGTAGAAACTCTAATTTCATAGTGTTTGCTTTAGTCTCAGGAGTGGCACTGAACCGATTGTTGTTTATGTATGATTGTGGTTATTGATGGGAGAAACGTTGTTGTGTGCAGAAAATGAGTAGTTTGGTGGAGCGGCTTCGTTTACGATCAGATAGGAAACCGGTTTATAACCTAGATGATTCTGATGATGACGACTTCGTTCCTAAAAAAGATCGGACCTTTGAGCAAGTTGAGGCTATTGTCAGAACTGATGCGGTTTGTTTTCTCCTCTTGTGCTTATTGTTGAGCTTTTACTACTTTATGTTGTCTATTTTTAATTAGGTTGTTACTCTGAATTTTGTAGAAAGAAAATGCCTGCCAGGCTTGTGGAGAAAGTGCAAATCTTGTAAGCTGCAATACATGTACGTATGCGTTCCATGCTAAATGCTTAGTTCCGCCTCTTAAAGACGCGTCTGTGGAAAATTGGAGATGCCCTGAATGCGTAAGATTAAGTTATTGTCCACAATTATGTTTTAGGTGGTTGTAGGTTTCATTTTCTTACATGGAAGTATTTTTTTTATTTATTTATTTGCAGGTTAGTCCTCTTAATGAGATAGATAAGATATTGGACTGTGAAATGCGTCCTACAAAATCTAGTGAACAAGGTTCCTCCGATGCGGCACCAAAGCCTATTTTTGTGAAACAGTATCTCGTGAAGTGGAAGGGATTATCATACCTTCACTGCTCTTGGTAGTTACTGCATGTTTTTTTTTTCTTGTCTATATGTCTGGACATGCTAATTATCAATGTTACCTGTCTGTGAACATTATAACACATGATTTATTTCCTTTTACCAATCATAGGGTGCCTGAGAAGGAGTTCCAGAAGGCTTATAAGTCAAATCATCGTTTAAAAACCAGGGTGAACAATTTTCACCGTCAAATGGAATCTGTCAATAACAGTGAAGATGATTTTGTTGCCATTCGTCCTGAGTGGACAACTGTTGATCGGATTCTTGCCTGCAGGTCTAGTGAATGGAATTAATTCCTTTATTTATATATCTGCCAACTTTTTTTTATACTTCTTTTCACCATAGTCCATTCTCTAATTAACACGTATCTTTGATAGAGTGCTGCTTTATCAAAATACATTTAGATGTTTTTGCTTCGAAATTTACTCTCTATAAGAAAGAAGCGTTTATGAAGTTTTTGGGTGTCTATGAAACATGATAAATGACCTGCTTACCTTTCTTTTTCTTAGTTGTTTCATTAATCAAGATTTGTGACAGTTGCATTGTTTTCTTTTATGATATAGAGAGGAAGATGGTGAGCTGGAATATCTTGTGAAATATAAAGAGCTATCTTATGATGAATGTTATTGGGAGTCAGAATCAGACATCTCTACCTTCCAGAATGAAATTCAAAGGTTCAAGGATGTAAATTCTAGAACTCGCAGGGGTAAAGATGTTGACCATAAAAGAAATCCCAGAGACTTTCAACATTTTGATCATACTCCTGAATTCCTCAAAGGTATTTGGATCACTTTAAATCTTATACTATAAATGTTTCCCATCTTTGGTACTTATAGACGCTATGATTTATTTGTTTTCTGCTATCGAAGGCTTGTTGCATCCATACCAGCTTGAGGGACTTAATTTTTTGCGGTTCTCGTGGTCAAAACAGACGCATGTAATCCTTGCTGATGAAATGGGACTAGGTAATTTTTCAATTGTCCCACCTGGGTGGTCACATAGATCTTTTCATCTATTGTGATGGACCTTTGTTTTCTATTTCTGTAATGTTGTGGGATTTTTCCTGTTACAGGCAAAACAATTCAAAGCATTGCCCTTTTAGCTTCACTTTTTGAGGAGAACCTCATTCCGCATTTGGTAATTGCTCCTCTATCGACTCTGCGTAACTGGGAGAGAGAGTTTGCCACATGGGCCCCACAGATGAATGTGGTATGTATGCAATTATACACGCAATGATTTGTGCCATTAGTATGTTTTTGTTGTTTGTTAATGAATTGGTCTTCGTGGTCATATGACGGGTAGGTTATGTATTTTGGCACTTCGCAAGCTCGAGCAGTTATCAGAGAACATGAGTTTTACTTTTCGAAAGATAAAAAAAAAATCAAGAAAAAGAAATCTGGACAAATCAGTAGCGAAAGCAAGCAAAAAAGAATCAAGTTTGACGTCCTCCTCACATCGTATGAGATGATCAACCTAGATACAGCAGTTCTGAAACCAATTAAGTGGGAGTGCATGGTAACTCTTATTCCCTAACAAGGCATTACTTTCTCTTAGTCGCCTCTCTTTCTCTCTTACATGTAGCTTACTAACAATTTTTTTTTGGTCAGATTGTTGATGAAGGTCATCGACTGAAAAATAAGGATTCAAAGCTGTTCTCTTCATTGACACAGTATTTAAGTAATCATCGTATTCTTCTGACAGGAACACCACTTCAGGTTCGTCATTTGGTTTTGATTCCTGAAGTTTATACTTTCAATAGTTGTATCTGAGCATAGTAGCTACGATTTGCAATGAGAGTTGTTATATATTATCCTGCAGTAATGTCTTACCTGATTAGTTGCAATATGTTACTGATGATTATGTGGTGCCTTTACAGAACAACTTGGATGAACTTTTCATGCTCATGCATTTTCTTGATGCGGGGAAGGTAGCGCAAGGATAGCAAAGATAAATAAGTTCACATACTTAACAGAATTTTATGTAGCTAACATTTTATTTGATTGCACAATACTTGCAGTTTGGAAGTTTGGAGGAGTTCCAGGAGGAGTTCAAAGATATTAATCAAGAGGAACAGATCTCAAGATTGCACAAAATGTTGGCTCCACATTTGCTCAGAAGTATTTACCAAAACTTTTTGTTCATCCTTTTTGATTTATATGTGTTTCAAAAGTTTGATTGGATGTAATCTTTCAGAGTAATAATTTTATGATCTTAACTATGCTGTGTCGTATTTTGATTGCTCTTGCAGGGGTAAAAAAAGACGTAATGAAAGACATGCCCCCCAAAAAGGAACTCATTTTGCGTGTTGATCTGAGCAGCCTGCAGAAAGAATATTACAAAGCTATTTTTACCCGTAATTATCAAGTATTGACTAAAAAGGGAGGTGCTCAAGTAAGTTCTTTTTAATTTTTGTTTACTCTTTTTGGATCCATATACCTCATAGGTTGGGTAGAAATCAGGTCCACTGTAATCGTCTGGTAATTGTATTGGTCTAATTCTGTTTCAGATTTCCCTTAATAACATTATGATGGAATTACGAAAAGTATGCTGCCATCCTTATATGCTGGAGGGTGTTGAGCCAGCTATTCATGACGCTAATGAAGCCTTCAAGTAATATCTCATTTTCCAAACTGGTTATCTGAATTTGTTTATTACTACTTATCAAAGTCGTCTGCTAACTTTTGCATTAACATTTTCTTATATGTATCAAAGACAACTTTTGGAATCTTGTGGAAAGCTGCAACTTCTAGATAAAATGATGGTCAAACTGAAAGAGCAAGGACACAGAGTCCTAATATACACACAGTTTCAGCACATGCTGGACTTACTTGAAGACTACTGTTCCTATAAGGTATTTGAACTTCTTATATGTACAGTCTGTCTCAGTAGATTTTCATTCTTGTTTTTTTTTGTTGACTACCATTGACACCTATAGAATCAACTCTACCATTTTCTAGTGGTAGAGTCCTTCAGCACAATTATGGAATGACAAGCATGTACTGAAACTGAGAGTATATGGGCACTGTGTCCAACTGAAAGAGAAAAGACACAAAGTTTCCTTATAAATACAGTACAAATCACAAGTTCAGCCATCTTATATGTACAGTAATCTTCCAATAGGTCTAGCATGTGCTGAAACTGTGTGTTGTGTGTACAATGTTCTCATATACACACAGTTTCAGCACATGCTGGATCTACTTGAAGACTACTGTTCTTATAAGGTACTGAACTTGTTATCTGTACTGTGTATATATGAGATCTCTGTATTCTTGCTCTTTTAGTTTGACACTTTGTTCTCATATACACTCGGTTTCAGCACATGCTTGACTTACTTGCTTGTATTTCCATAATTGCCCCTAAGGACTCTATCTTGAAAAAGGCAGAGTTGATTCTATAGATAGGTGCAATTACTTTGTTAGACTTTTTGGCATAACTTGCTCTGTTGGCAATATAACTTCTTTTTTAACAAAAAAAGATTACTTTTTTTTGGTTTTTTTGAAATGCCATTATCATTACCATT